GTCTACAGTGTCTTCACATGTAATTAGGGTACTATTGAGAGGTCTAAGTCAGTGTATACACTGTATCTGTTATAAGGGAAATGTTGAGTGGTCTAATGCAGTTTCTAAACTGAACATGTAAATAAGGTAGCACGTGAGTGGATTAAGGCAGTGTTCATACTGAACATGTAATTAGGGTAACACGTAAGTGAAATAGGGGAGTGTTCATACTGAATATGTATTTAGGGTAACACGTGAGTGAAATAAGGCAGTGTTCATACTAAACATGTAATAAGGGCAGCACGTGAGTGAACTAAGGTAGTAACTATACTGAACATGTTATAAGGGTAGCACGTCAGTGAACTAAGTCAGTATCTATACTGAACATGTAGTTAGAGTAACACGTGAGTGAACTAAGGCAGTATCTATATTGAACATGTAGTTAGGGTAGCACGTTAGTGTGCCGAGGCAGTGTCTACACTAAACATTTAGTTAGGGTAGCACGTCAGTGTGCCAAGAAAGTATCTAAACTGAACATGTAATTAGGGTAGCACGTCAGTGTGACAAGGAAGTATCTAAACTGAACATGTAATTAGGGTAGCACGTTAGTGTGACAAGGAAGTATCTAAACTGAACATGCAATTAGGGTAACACGTCAGTGTGACAAGGAAGTATCTAAGCTGAACATGTTATTAGGGTAACACGTTAGTGTGACAAGGCAGTATTTACACTGAACATGTAGTTAGGGTAACACGTCAGTGTGCCAAGGCAGTGTTTAGACTCTACATGTAATAAGAGTGACTTGTCTAAGACATTATGCAAAATAGAAATGTAATAAGGTTAACATCCTAATCAAAACACGGTGGGGCGGGAGTATTCCTCAATATAAGTATGGTTACTTATACAACTATCTCCGAGGAGACAAAACTCGATGTTTTGGTGTATTTTTGGCTATGTTTTGTAAATACCGATGAATCAACAAAAACATAGAGAAAATCATGCAAAAGGCTTCTGATAATAATCAGTTAATAAATATAAGTTAGTTTATAAGAAGAAATGATTATTTGGTTTATATTGACAATAATCATGTTTAACGTTTTAAACATTCAACATTCTAGATTGTCAATACATTGGAATTTTGATTAAATAATAAACGTAGTTTTTAATATAAAAAAAAGAACATAGTTTTTTTAATCGATAAGTATTCATTTAAGCAAGCCTTCTGAGAGTATACTATTAATTATAGAAGGACGTATACATCCTGGGGAGAGGGAGGGAGGGAGAGAAGGGGTATACCGAAGGAAGGGAGGGGAGAGGGATGGGGATGAAAGGAGATGCGAGATTAAGGGTCTGTAATAATATCTATCTCGTTATATTGTAGAAAAATTAAAGTATCGGAGTTTGCTGAAAAGTTTTACGAGCTGAGTAAGGATAGCAACATGAAGTTCTCAGAAGAGGTCAAGGTTAGTATCGTGAGGCTGACTTAGTGTCACGTGAGGCTTTCTAAGTGTCACGTGAGGCTGACTTGGTGTCACGTTTCAGTTTCCTGATCTTACTTTGACTTGTTATACATGTAGTTATGTCAATCCTGTGTGTCGTCATTAGATCGTGTTGATAAATACGTAAAGGGGTTAATTAGCTCTGAGGATATAGGAGTTGCTTCGTTTTGTATAAAGGTTCTTATACTTGGGATCCTATGTTGACATATTTCTGCAATCGAATTACAAGTGATGTATATCGATATAAGTATTAAAATAATGTGGAAATAATCTGAGGATATGACAAATAATCATAAAAATCTTATTTATAAATTATGTATAAAACTGAGTTCCTTCTAACGTGAAAATAGCTTTGGCAATGTTATTTCCGAAAATGTGATATGTCGACCATAACATTAGTTAACAATTGATCGTTGCAATTTGGTTTTTGAATGATAATACTATCTGTATGTTTTCTTCTACCCTGACAAGGTACTTCTCCTGTATTTTCAACTGATTGAGGCTGATTTGTCATAGATGATATTACATTTACCGATGTTGATTTGTTACAGCTGTTAAAGGAAATAAGTCCAGTGCATAAAACGTCGTGTGCCGAGGAGCAGGCTGTCCGCATTAAAAACCGGTACACAAACATACTGGCATGTAGGTAGCACTTTACATGTTTATATCTAGATTCTGGTAAAGTCATTCTCCAGACACATGTAGGTGGGACTTTACATCTCTATTTCTAGATTCTGGTAAAGTAACTCTTCAGACACGTGTAGGTAGTACTTTACATGTTTATATCTAGATTCTGGTAAAGTCATTCTCCAGACAAATGTCTAGATTCTGGTAAAGTCATTATCAGGACACATGTAGGCAGTAATTTACATCTCTATTTCTAGATTCTGGCAAAGTCATTCTCCAGACACATGTAAGCAGTACTTTACATGTTTATATCTAGATTCTGGTAAAGTCATTCTCCAGACACATGTAGGTAGCACTTCACATGTTGATTTCTAGATTCTGGTAAAGTCATTCTCCAGACACATGTAGGTAGCACTTTACATGTTTATATCTAGATTCTGGTAAAGTCATTCTCCAGACACATGTAGGTAGCACTT